CTAGTATAATCCAGATAACAATGAGTATGATCCAGATTACAATGAGTATAATCCAGATATTATTCAGTATAATCTGGATTATACTAGCTAACATCTGAAATTTTTTTACCTCAGATGTCACTGAGTATAATCTGAGATGGTATCCAGTGTCATCTTGCTCTTTCCGTGTAACCGATATGATTGTTTATGATTTTTGGAAATTAAAAAAAATTTTGTTGTAAATTTTAAAATTAAAAAAACAATTTTGGAACGTATTTAGTGTGCGTTGTTGCGAAATATTTTACTTTTAATTAAATTCGTAAAATCTATTTACTAGGACTTTAAAAAAATTGAAATGCACAATATGACGCACACCAAGTACGTTCCAAAATTTTTTTTTTAATTTTTAAATTTACAACAAAATTTTTTTTAATTTTCGAAAATCATAAACAATCATATCGGTTACTTGGATTTTTTAATTTTTTTATTTTATATCTTTTTGTAAAAAAAAAAAACTAATTTTTTTTTCTTAATAGTCTTATGAACGTGGACTTGGCGCGATTTTTTTTACAGTGAAACTGTTTTTGTTCGGATTTAAATTTTCACAACGTTTCGTCGGTTTCCCGACTTCCTCAGGTGCTAGAACAATTAAATACAAAAATACTTTACAATGAGAGTAGAGCATTGTAGTATTGACAGAGTTTTAGTTAATTAATATTTGTTATTGGTTTTATTATTTATTAATTAAAACATGAATAAATTAAACTAATATTGTAGTTTTTACTCTGTGGTAAAAAGAGGTAATTCAAACTACCTCTTTTTACTACAAGCTACTTGGAGAAATCTTTTTTGGTAATTGTAATAAAGCTTTCGGAAGAACTGCCACGCGAAATTGTAAATTCGAGTAGCTCACAAGTCTTCAAAAAAGAAGTATTTAATTATTTATTAAATCTTGATAATTAAAACAAATTCTAATAAATAACAAATTTAAATTAATTCATTGAAAATTAAAGATTAAAGTAAGGATGAAGTAATTGCTATTCGCAAAATTATTATGCTGAGTTATCACCTGATCTGATGACATTAAAATTCTATATTTTAAAATTATTGTTTACCTTGTTTATATATAAATAATTTGAATTAATTATAGTGCAATATTATATTATATTATGTACTCACAGAAATTGCTCTCTTGTAAAAACTGTATTTACTATTTAATTGAAATTGCCATTTGGCCTGTGCCTTGGCATTAAATAAACAAAATCTAAATCTAAATCTTAATTAATTTTGAATATTATGGGAATAAATTCAGGTTGTTAGCCTGCCTTGATTCATTTGACATGATTTTAACAATTGATGTTTAATAATTGAGGTATGTGTTTTTGTTGTATTCTTAGACTTAGTCATAAATTGAATTTTTGAGTTGAGTTTATACTGTCCAAGTGATACAATATTATGAAAATGTTTTTTGTAATGTAATTATATGAATATTATTGTAAAGTATTTTTGTATTTAATTGTTCTAGCACTTGAGGAAGTCGGGAAACCGACGAAACGTGAAAATTTAAATAAATATTTCCACAAAACTGTGAACCTATTATTTTATTAATTAATTATGGATATGAACAACAAGACAATGAGTTTATTAAATTATAAATTGTGGCTTTCATACTTTCTACATCAAGTTCTGTAATATTTATATTCTTGCCACTCCGATGTCTGCTTTACTGTTTGAAACTATAAAAATTAACCGGAATCCGAGTGAATATTACAGTTTACTTTTTCCGTGTGATCTATTTTCTTAATAAAAAAAAATATATAAAAAAATTATCACATCTTAATCAAAGTACGCTTATCCACAATAAATCATTGATTACCGTATATATACACATGTTAATGCAACAGTTGATCAGAAAGATTGATCAACAGATTAACAACTCATTTTATTATAAAGTATGTGACGCAACCCCTGAAATTTACTCCCTCAAAGCAATTATCATTCTAATACACGATTTTATCACTAAAAGTCAGCTTATTTGAAACCAAGTACAAATGTAACCAAGAGGGGTCAGATAAAGTCATAAAGCTGGAGATAAAATCAGCTTTTGTAGAAAAAAAAATGTGGAATCGATATTCAACCTAGAATTTTGTGTTTATTAGTGGTTTGTTAGTCAAAAATAATTTTTATAAAAATGTTAGTTTTTTTTTAATTATATTTTAAGAAGATCCACTTAGCAAGAGGGCAATTTTATTAATTTTGTAGGTTGAGGTTTAGTTTTCTTGGCTTAATTGACTGGAGAAAATGGATCTTAAGAGGAAAAATATATTTTTAAATCTTAATTTATGAGTTGCCTGTGTGGAGTCTGAGCGCCACTTTGAAATCTCCGAATGATACTATGTAGATCATTTTCAGCTGCGCGGCGGCTAAGTGTTTTCTATTTGTCAAACTCACTTAGAAATTTATATTTTTTAATGTCAATTTTTTTCTATTAATATAACAAATTGAATTCTGAAAGAAAAAAGTATTTTTTTATTAATCGCAATTATTTTTATTGATTTATAATAAACAATAATTGCCTGAAAAAATTATTTTAATTGTCTTAAAATATTTTTTTCTGTAATAAATCAGTAAACTAAATTAAATGATTTATTGGATTTGGGGCTGAAGAATTATCTATCTGATTTATGAAGACAACCGAATAAATAAAAATTTTGGAGTAAAAAAATTCTCCAATGTCTTAATATAATAGAAATAGTAATTAAAAAAATTCAAGTATGTAATTTACGTTGATTATTTCAATTAAGCTAATATTTTTTAACTGATTTTTTTTTTTTTTTTTTTTTCATTTAATCACTTGTTTGTTTTTGTTTATTTACAATTTTTTGACTAAAAACACACAAATAAATTAAAAAAAGTTAAATTGATTATCCAAAACAATATCAATTTTATTTTTTAATTAAAAATGAATTGCACTTAAATTTTCAATAATTAAAATCAGGAAGACGTAAGTTAATGACAGCTTGATTAGTTTTTTTTTTTTTTTTTTTTTTTTCCAAGTACTTGTCACTTACAACAACAGATTGTTGTTAATATTCAATTTCAATAATACAAATTAATAAAATTTGTAAATAAATAATCAAATAAAATATTTATATTTTATGACATTAAAGTCAGCAGTCACTTGATTATTTTTTGATTTTTTTCTAATTTTTTTTTTTTTGCCATTATTTGTTTGTTACAAAAATTTTAAAAATTATTAAATATCTGCTAAATTTATTTTCATTTATATTATTCAAAATCATAACCTGTAAGAAAAAAGTTTAAATATCTCAAAAAAATTATTAAAATTGTAATTATGAATAATGTAAATTTTAATTTACCTAAATTCAATATAAAAATCTTGACTTTGACAATTGTTGAAAAAAATATGCAGGTTATGTGATGAACAGCACATGGACAATGTTTTTTTTTTATTTCTCTCTCACTCCCGGCATGATACTGAAGTTAGCTGACAGCTGTCAATTTTAAAAAATTTTATAATAAATAAATTACAATCAACTGTTTTAAAAAATTTGCACCAATAATAATTTTTTTTTTTAATTTTCACATGTGAAATTTTGTTATTAAATTTCATTTTGTATATTTAATCAATTGCTATAAAATTATAAAAAAATTTCAAACTTCAGTCAACAAACCACTAGAGAGCGCGCCAGTGCGGATAATGCAGGGACATAATTTTTATAACTAAAAAACAACTTGTGTTTTGGTGATTGCTCGCTCACCGACAACCGACACTCATCATATGTCGACATTTCAATCCGATCTCACCCATCATTACTTTTATATACCGAGAACCGAGAGATCAGATATCAGTTTATAATCATAATCAGTATTTTTTCACATATCACGTGAATTTACCAAGTATGTAAGTCTGACGTTACAATAAATATTTATGACATAAATTATAAATAATACATTGATAAATAATTGCGCACATAAAAAAAAAATTTTTTTTGACATAAATTAAAATAATAATATACATATTTATATTTTTTTTAGTTTGCATTAGCCGAAAATGTCGATATCTAGATTTACTGGTATAGAATTGGGACCACCAATTGAAGTGTTTTCACTTGTAAAGACTTTTGGAGATGATAAATTTGAAAATAAAGTCAGCCTTGTAATGGGCGGTAAGTTTTTTTTTTTTTTCTTAAATTAAATATTTTTAATAATTTAATAAATATTAAAAAAAATTTTCTATAATTAAAAAATTTAATTAGTTCCTAAAATTAAATTAATAAAATTTTATTAAGACATATGTATCCCATAGATTAAAAAATTCCCCGAGGGATATAAAAAATAATTTGTTATATCTCTAATAGAAATGACCTCAAATTTAACCTTGGGCAAGATAAATATTATGCAATTACCCATACAGCCTCAATTTAAATATACAAAGTGTAAATTCAATGTTTGCTAAAAAAAATTTTTTAACGTCACTAATCATTACTTAGCACTGAGATAAAAATAAATAGATATAATTCATACTTTGTTTATTTGTATTTACTTCTGATAAGATTTCTTAACAGTTGATAAAAATTAATTAATATTTACAGCTTATCGAACCAACGAAGGAAAGCCATGGGTTTTGCCAGCAGTAAAGAAGGTAGAAAAATTATTAGCTGAAGATGAGCTCCAAAACCATGAGTATCTTCCAATCCTCGGTCTGGAAGCATTTAGCCGGCTTGCAACAGCTATGTTGCTGGGTGAAAATTCCCAAGCGATTATTCAGGGCCGAGCATTCGGTATTCAATCGCTGTCAGGCACTGGATCTTTGCGAGTTGGAGCTGAGTTTTTATCAAGAATTTTCCACTATGATACTTTTTACTACAGCACACCTACATGGGGTACATATAAAATAAAAATTTATCATAGATTTAGATTTGATTATTATTAACCCCTGACAAGCACAAATCTAAACCGTATACCTCTTTAGGCATTGAGGGTGACAAGTACCACACATATTTCATTTTCAAATATCTTGGTCCCTAATAAAGTTAGAGAATTTTTTTTTTTTAAATCAAAGCTCAAAAAATTCTCTATAAAATAAATATAATATTAAATTAATTAGTACCAATTAAAATAGATAAAAATACTATCGAAGTTTAAATATGCACAAAGAATTATAACGAAATAAAATTTTGGGGTGGGTACTTTTTACCTAGTGTGCTTGTCAGGGGTTAATGCCAAGGCACAGGCCAAATGGCAATTTCTATTACATAGAATATACAGTTTTTACAAGAAAAAAATTTCTGTGAGTACATAATATAGTATTGTACAAAAATTAATTTAATAATTTGTATATCGACGTTCTAATTAGCAAATTTTCTAACTTCATTTTAGAGAATCTTCCATTTGTACGAAAAAAACAATTTGTTCAAAATTTATTATTACTTTAAAAAACCATTTAATATCATTCATATAATTTACAATTGGACTATTGCTACATCAAAATATTAAAAAATCACCCTCTAAAAAATAAGCAGTTAGACAAATTGCTAATTAGACCGTCGATATAAACAAGGTAAAATCAAATTAAACTTAGAAATTAATATAGAAAATAATTTAAAATATAGAATTTTAATGTCACCAAGGCAGATGATAACTCAACATAATAATTCTGCGAATTGCACTTACTTTATCCTTATTTTAATCTTTAATCTTTAAAGTATTAAATTCAAATTAGTTATTTATTTGACGTCGTTTTAATTATCAAAATTTAATTAGTAATTGAAAACTTCTTTTTTGAAGACTTGCAAGCTACTCGAATTTACAATTTCGCGTGGGAGTTCTTCCCAAAACTTTATTACAGTCACTAAAAAAAATTTCTCTAAGTAGCTTGTAGTGAAAAGAGGTAGTTTGAAGGAGTTGTGCTTTTTTACAGCCAATAGATAGATGAAAAATTTCATTAAAAGTTTACAAGTAAATTAAATTTAAAATTTTAATGAAATACAGATAGATCATTTAATACAAAGAAATAATTTAAAGTCATAATTTAACATTGCTAATAGAAAACAATATTTTAAATGAGATAATAATATAATTAATTAGAATTGTAGAAGAGAAAAGTCAAGTGGATTATTTATTTATTTGCTTCAATTCTGAAGTGAATTCATTGGGACCATATTTTTTTAATACAAATTTTAAACGATGTTAATAACTACTCTAATTTAATTTTATTATTTAGAGTACATAGAGACATTAATCATCGCTCATATTATTAACATATCAACGTATCACATCTACGCATCAAATCCAAAATTAAACTCCTGATTTAATAGATATAAAGTATATTTTTCTTTAAATTCATCAAGTGTCTTGGAGCTGACCCAGTTACTCATTACTCTTGAAACAAAAAAGAGGATAATAATAATTAATAATTTTTTTTATATCTTTATTTAGAAAACCACAAACTGATATTCACCAATGCAGGCTTCAAAAAAGGATGTGAATATCGTTACTGGAATGCTGAAACAAAGAGCGTTGATATTGAAGGTATGCTGCAAGATTTAAGAGACGCTCCAGAAAATTCAGTGATAATTCTTCACGCTTGTGCCCATAACCCGACTGGGTGTGACCCGACTCACGAGCAATGGAAGCAAATAGCCGATGTTATTGAGCAAAAGAAATTATTTACATTTTTCGACAGCGCCTATCAAGGCTTTGCCAGCGGAGATGTTGATCACGACGCCTACGCCCCTCGGCTCTTCGCTGAACGCGGGATGGAATTTTTCTGCGCTCAAAGTTTCGCTAAAAATTTTGGATTGTACAATGAACGAGTTGGCAATCTCGTTGTTGTTATGAACAATCCCAAGGAAGTTGCTCAAGTTAAATCACAATTGACTTTGATTGTTCGTGGAATGTACAGCAACCCTCCAAATCACGGTGCTCGTATCGTTGCTACTGTTTTGGGCAATGATGATTTACATGAGGAATGGTGAGTTAATTTTTTTATTGACACTTATCGTATCAATTATTATCAATTATTTCAATTTTATTTTTATTCATAGGAAAGATCATATTCGTGTGATGTCCAGCAGAATTAAATTGATGAGAAAAGCATTATACGATAGACTGTTGAAATTAAGAACTCCTGGAAATTGGGATCATATTATCAATCAAATAGGAATGTTTTCTTACACTGGGTTGACTGGTAAATTTTTTTATCAATTAATTATTAATTAAATTAAAGGACCCAATTATTGACACTGGCCTAGTTGTTTGAAATTTGCAATTTTATTCTAATTAAAATAATATAATGTTCTCAAAAAATCAATTATCTCAAAAATGGATACATAATTAAGAAATGACCTTGTATCTCGTGAACTGTTGATATTTTTAAAGATATAAGCTCATCCTGACGTTACACTTATCAAGACCTTTCATTTCATATATTTATATATGTCATATATATATACATATACATATATATGAAAAATATATCAAAATGCATGTGGGTATTCAAATGAAAGCTCTTGATGAATGTATCATCGGGATGAGCTTATATCTTTAAAAATGTCAATAGTTAAAAAAGTACAGTACAATTTAACAAATATCTTGTGAACTATTGACATTTTTAAAGATATAAGCTCATCCCGACATTACACTTATTGAGACCTTTCATTTGAGTACCTACATCAATTTTTCATATATTTTATATATTTATATCGACGTTCTAATTAGTAAATCGTCTAACTCCATTTTATAGAATCTTCTATTTGTACGAAAAAAACAATTAGTTTAAAATTCATTATCACTTTAAAAAACCATTTAATATCATTATTATCTATTAGAGATATAATATTTAGGTTTGAATCATTCAAATAATTTATAATTCGATTATGGCTACATCAAAATGGTAAAAAAATCACCCTCTAAAAAATATGGAGTTAGACACATTACTAATTCTAATTAGACAGTCGATATATGAAAAATATATCAAAAATGCATGTGGGTACTCAAATGAAAGCTCTTGATAAGTGTAACATCAGTATGAGCTTATATCTTTAAAATATATATTATATATATG